ACACACACACACACACACACACACACACACACACACACACATAATTTCCGGTTGGATTCCAGGAAACATGTGCAAATATGTGCTTATCTTTGAACTTAGCAAAGTTAGGTAGTGCTTAGAAAATGTTCCCTTGAATCCCCAGCTGACTGCTAAGAGTAGTGTTGGCTCCCTGAGAGTTTGCACCTCCCAATCCCCACACCAGTCAGGGAGTATGGTCAGCTGATGAAAAGGCTCCACCTGTGCCCACCAGGGATCAGGCTAAGCAGGAGCAGGGGTGGGGGGCCTCTGGTCAGCACCTAAGGGGATGCCAGACCAGAACTGAGTGCAAAGCCAGGCAGGTTGCAACAAGCAGAAGGAGCTGGCACAGCTCTTGGGCAGAAGGGATGAGAAGCACACAGCAGGTGACAGAGACATGAGAGTTCCTTCCTTCATTTAGTCAACAAATTCTTGCCCAGCTGGAGCTTTGTGCCAGGTGCTGTCCTAGGCTCCAAGGCCTCTGGGATGACCAAGAAAGAGTCCCTGTCTTTGTGACATGCATATGATGGGGAAGTAACATCTTTTTAATAATAATAATAATAAAACACTAGATAGAGGCAGATGGCTTGAAAGAGACAGACTGATATAGACATCCCCACAGAGCATGCCTAGCAAGAGAGGGAGGGACATTTCTTTAAAAATCAGATAGAAAAGGCCACCTGGAGACTATGGCATCTGGATTGACACCCGAATGTTGCCAGGGGCCAGGTAAGGAACAATCCAGGGGGTGCCCAGAGCATTCTTTCTGCAGGAAGTTCAAGGGCCCTTTGTCACAGGAAAGAGCTTGGCATTTCAAGGAATGGATAAAAAATCAACGTGGTGGAAGGAGAGGGAGATGGGGCCAATTTGCGTAGCGTCCCTCGGATCATAAAGGGGTTTGGATTTTATCCTGTGAGTAATGAGAATCCACAAGGTGGTTTTAAGCAAGGGAATTGCTTGATCTTAGTTCTGAGAATGTCCCTGCTCTGTGGCCATGGAGTTTTCTAAAACAAACAAGAACAAGCAGATCTTATTTTCTTGGGGATAGAGGGGCTAAGGAGGCGGGAAAGACAGGGATTAAGGACTTCGGGGTGTGTGATCACTGCGGGGTGTTTGATGAAGGTTTTCACAGAGGCATGGGGACTGGTAGCTTTATTTTCCCCGCGTGTTGATGTGTTGATATAGGATTACTATCATGCTGGAAGTAGGGTCTTTGGCAGTGTACCATGGCCTTGCCCTGGACTTTTCTCTGGTTAGACATTTCTAACTGTGAACTGGTGGAAGACTCAGAAGACATGCTCATCAGACATGCAGCCGACATGTAGCTGTCAGGGATGGCTAATGCCACAGATGACAGGCTCAAGATTCACTGTGCTGATCCTCTAAGGGCTGGCATTACAGGATGAAAGTGGCAACATCCCTGATTGCATTCAGATTGGGGAACAAGATTCATGCGGGAGCTAGGGGACTTGGGTGGCAGAACTCTCTGGAAACAAGGCTGGCTAAGGCTGGAGGAGTGAGTACAGGAACTGGACCAGCTGTGTCCCAACACATCAGCCTCCTCTCCAGCATGGTGACAAGGTCCTCGGCCTTTCAAGGGGAAATTGTTCCTATCTGTGAAGTGAGAATGATACTGTCAGGTGTCCAAGGAAGTGCAAGGGATCAAGTGTGTATATGGACGTTGATGCCTGGCCTTCCTTCCGGCTTGCAGTAGATTCATAATTAACGACGCCTCCATTATATTAACCTTTGTAGAAGGTACCCAGAGAACTCACAGCTAGAGTGACCATCTCTCTTAGGTACAGTGTTTACTTATAACTTTTAAACAACCCCATTGGCCTTGGTAGAGTATCCAGAGGGCAATGAGCTGACGAGCCAGGTTTGAATTGTTGCAGGTGCCCACAGAAGTCTGGTGGCGACGGCAGGCTGTGCAGAGGTGGGCTGGGGTGTCTTTGTACAGATCTAACCACTGATAAAAACACAAGCATCTGGCTTGCTATGTATCAGGCTTGTGCTAAGTACCTTGCCTAGCTTACCTACCTCCCAGTATCTTCACAGTCTTTAACCCTGAGAAGAGGGTGTGGCCTGACAGATTCGAGAAAACAAGGTGCTAAGGGGCAGCATAGGAATTCCCATTCAGCACCCATGGGTCTTTTTCCATCACCTTTTTTCAGGCTGGGAATGACAAGAGTGTCAGTTGGGTGTCAAGTAGGGATTATGCCTGGGATGTTTCGATACAGGGACATCAAGGTCTTTTAGAAGGTGTTTTTGTGGAGGACTTAGGGGATGGCTCAGTCTTGAAGTGTGAGGGCCAAAATTCAGTTTCCAGAACCCACATAAAAATGGCAGGTGTAGTGAAATGTACTTGCAATCCCATCCCTAAGGAGCCAGAGACTGGAGGATTGCTGGAGTTTACTGGTCAACTGGTGGATGAACTCTAGGCCAGTAAGAGAGCCTGTGAATAATGTCCCTGAGGAAGATGATTGAAGTTGACCTCTGGCTTCAACACATACAAGAGCACACATAAATCCCTCCCCCCACGTGCATATACACGTACACACATCTGCACACTCACAGTTCATACATATTCACAGGCACTCACAGGCACAAATGCACAGAGAGGGAAAGAAGCCGCTTTCCTGCCACTTGACACTTTTGAGGATTCAGTGGTGACAAGTGTGTGTGTGTGTGTGTGTGTGTGTGTGTATGTGTGTGTGTGTGTAACCCAGAAACCAAATATAGACACCAGTAGACTGGCTATCTCAATGGCCCCATGTGTCTGCTTCTAGCTTTCCCCATGACTGACATGTACAGCCTATGAAGGAGCTGGTCGGTTGTGCCCTCTCCCTCGCTCTCTTCCTCCCTCAACTGGATTAGTTTTAAGGGAAACCCCAGGCACAATTGATCTATACATATTTAGCATGTAGTTCCGAGAGATAACGGCTGCTTTTGGTTGTTGTTTAAGTGTGACCACAATGACAGGTTCACAGTGTTAAAAAAGCAAGCATCCTTGGGGTGAGGCTAATTGACAAAAGCTATTGGCACACAGCTGGTATTGCCAGGCAGTGGATATGGGTAGGGGAAGCAAAAACTGGTCCTTCAAGTGGCTGGGCCCTAAGACTTGAGACTTACCTGATTCCTTTTAAGGAGGAGGAACCGAAACTTGGGGCACCCTCTTTTACTCTGATTGTTCCTGGGGCACAGCGGTGAGAGCAGGGCCTATTTTTAGCCCTAAGTCTAGACATGGAAAGGCAGCAAAAGGAAGGGAATATTCGAGAGGGCCAGGGAGAGAGAAGAGTATGAAGGAAAGAGAGATTGAGAGTAGGAAGTGAGCCTTCCCCTGTGGACTGTCAAGGGCAGGCTCTGCTCTCCTGGTTCTGAGTGAACTGTGAGCCTGCCTGTTTCTGTGCAGTCCTGTGTGCATCAAGGTGTGTGTGTGTGTGTGTGTGTGTGTGTGTGTGTGTGTGTCCGCCCTCATAAGCAAACAGCACTACAGGAAGGCAGGGACATCCCATGAACACTGTTTGGGGTATTTCTTGTGCCTTCTTAGTGGAGAGTGGATTGTCAGACAGACCACGCTTTGGTTTGCCCACAGTGAAGCCGCAGCAGCTGAGCCCCACTCGTGTATCCCTTTTATTTTTTCCCCTTCTGCCTCTTAACTGTCTTTCTCTTTATGTGCCTTAAGTGGCTGCTGAATCAAGTTTCCAGAACATTCCAGGCATAGGTAATTCTATCTATCCTTCCCAGGAACCTTCATGTATGCATAGCAGGTACTTCTAAGCTGGAGGACCCTGGCTCCCCTGGGAATGTAGTGGAGGAAGGTGCCCCCTCACCAAATTTGCTGGGGGGTAGTTGAGAGGGCAGGGTTACCAACTTCTCCCTCACTTGAGGAGAACCAGTAATCAGGAGCTGGGAATTCATTAGCTCATCAAGCACCATCGGGATGTTGGATCACTAATGGAGATCAGGGACAGGGGGACAGGGGAACATAGGGACAGGGAGAGCTGTATGAACTGGTTCAGGTTCCAGCCAAGTGTTGTTGTCATCCACAATAATGTTCCAATTCAGATGCCATGACCCCATCAGAGGCCATGCCAGCAAGAGTAGATACAGATGTCCAGATGGGCACACTGTGGAATCCAAGGTTCAAGGTCAGGTCAGACTATGAGCCTGACCTTATGTGGACATAAGCACTGACAGGTGTGTGACCCTGTGACAGAGTGTCTGCACTGTTCAAACACCCCTCTGTGATATTCCTGGGAATCACACAGGATATTGGAGTATCTGCGATGCTGAACAACTTGCTCAGGGTCACACAGATTGAAAGTTACAGAGACAGCTGTGAGTCTTAACTGTGCAGTCCGCCAGCCTGCAATAGGGGACTTACTGTATTGTATTCCTGGAAACTTCTTCAGGCTCTAGATCTTGTTCTTTGAACTGCTTAGTCACAGACTTTGCTGCTGGGCAAATTTCCCCAGTGAACCATCTCTCTACTGTTTGTTGCCTTGGGGACTGAGGAGGAAGGGGCAGACATCTTCAGCACTATAGCCTAGCGGGTGATATTGGCTTTGTGTCCACCTGGTCCATTTTTCCCTCTTGAGAAAGCAACAGGTTTTTCTCATTAGGAAAGAATGGTTTTCAACAGGTTGTGGCCCCACCTTCTTTCCCCGAGGCCTGTATCCCACAGCCTGCATCCTGCTGGCAGAGCTACTGGTGGATGAGAGCACTAACTCCGCCATGTCTTTGAACCTTTTGCAGAGCTCTGGAGCTGAGCGGGGGCAAGGATGAGATCTCCCTGCTGGTGGAGCAGGAGTTCTTAAGTCTCACCAAAGAACATCTCATCTTGGTCCAAGAGAGCTCTGGGGAGCTGGCAACACCTATTGTCACTCCCCAGGGGACCCGGGAGCTGGCTCCCTGCTTTCTTGTGCCTCCTCTGGGGGCAGACAGCACTGAATACCCAGGATCCTCTGTAACAGCTGGTGACAAGCTTCGGGAGCAGAAGCTGTCCGTGCCCATCATCAGTAGCAGGCAGGACTGTGATTCTGCCATGTCTACAGTCACAGGCATCCTTCGTGCTGCCAAGGTCAAGAGTGTCAAGGGAACAAAGGACAAGAGCCATAGCCTGAGTGCCTCTAATTCAGAGATCAGCAAGCTCCTGGCCCAGTTCCCACTGAAGTCTACCGAAATGTCCAAGGCCCCTGACAACAAGATGGTGCTGGAAGAGACCAAGGTCATTAAAGATTTCCTGCAGAATAGCATGTTCAATGGCTCTGGACCCCGGGAGCCCATGGGGCTGGGCCCATTCCTGCTGCTGCCACCCCCACCTCCTCCTGCACCCCCTGACAAGCTCCCTGAGTTCTCTCCTCCAAAAAGGCAGCTTCCAGTGTTTGCCAAGATCTGCTCCAAGAATGAGGCTGACTCCACTCTTGATGGCCACCACTGGATTGGTGAGTGGGCCTGGGAGCAGGGAGGTGAGGGGGTTACCAGGGAGGAGGGCCTTGATCAGAAAATATGATCAACGTTATAGTGCATCTTGGTGCAAAGCAAAACAACGCAGAGTCTCTCTCTGTCTCTGTCTCTGTCTCTCTCTCTCTCTCCCTCTCTCTCTCTCTCTCCCCCCGTGTGTGTGTGTGTGTGTGTGTGTGTGTGTGTGTGTGTATGTATGCCTGGAGGCAGAGGTGTCAGGCGACATCCTCTGTGGCTCTCCATCTTATTTCCTGGGATTGGGACACGTAGCCCTCTGATTGAGCTAGAGTAGCTGGCCAGTGGGTTCTAGAGATCTTGCCTTTGCCTCCCCAGGACTAGGGTTACAGCCACATGTCACCACATACAGCTTTTTATATGCTGTATAAATGCTGGAAATCCAAACTTAGGTTCTCTGCCATGACAATCATTTCGCTAACTTAGCATCTTTCTGGGTCCTGGAAGAGTTGGTCATTTCTGACTTTACTAGGTACCCATTCTGGAGGAAGTATTTACCTTATAAGGTAAGATCCCAGCCTGGGGTCTGGGCTAGAAGAGAAAATTGATTGGCAGCTGGGGGTACTTAACCTCTAATGGAAGTACACACCCTGGTCATCAGGACCACTCTCTCTAGGGCTTAAGCTGTCCAGGAACAGCTCAAATTGTTCGTCCTGGGACTCTAAAGGTTTAGTTGGATGTATTTTCAACACTTGAATGGGGACTCCACAGTCTTCCCAGGAAACTCAGCCCCCCTCCCAGTGCTTCCGACTCCTCCCTGGGATTCAGCATTGTGTATGCTCAGACTGGATGACAGAGCCATTTGCCCACAGCCCACGGCTCCTTGGAGAACAACCAAAGGAAAGGTCACCCCCCAGGCCGAAGTGTTATGGTTAAGTGACAGTGCCTGCATGGGGAGGGCCCAAACCCACTTCTCTGAGAAATAAGGACAAGGTGACCTTCCAGAGCATTCTACATTCTAGAGCACTTGTGGGACCCCAAAAAATCAGAGCTGAGATGACAAGCTGGACTCAGTGTCCAGCAGGCCTGGAGGAGTCACGAGGCTTTGGGATGATAGCTGTGGGTGGGAGGGAACTACCCTCTCCTTCTAGGGGGGACCCTTCATGTTCCTTGCTGAAAGGGCTGCAGATTTGGGGGTATCTTGTCCATTTCCCCTCCCCATACTCAGAAAGTGCCTTTGCCCACAAACCTGTGGGCAAGGTATGCCCGAGGAGCTTTGTGCAGGGTGAGCACATTCATTAGGGAAAGCACAGGGGTGGCATGTCTGAGGGTGCCCGTGTGTATACTAACTAGTGGGTATGTTTGTCATGTGTGTGTCTGTATAGTTATGAGACAGAGGGTAATATATGTGTGTGTGTGTGTGTGTGTGTGTGTGTGTGTGTGTGTGTGTGTACATGTGTGTGAGAGAGAGGGAGGGAGGGAGAGGGAGGAAGTGGGAGGGGAAGAAGGGGGAGGGAAGGAGAGAGAGAGAGAGAGAGAGAGAGAGAGAGAGAGAGAGAGAGAGAGAGAGAGAGAGAGAGCCCAGATGTCAGAGGGGTCTTGCAGATGTTCAAGGGACTGACTGTAGATGGGTGAGAAGCTGTAAATACAGCAGTTTCTAGGGGGAAATAACTATTATTAGTGGGTATGTTATTTCAGCATTCTAGCTGGGGGCTAAACTCAGCAACCAGAGGAACTCCTGGAAGAGACTCTGGGGACATGTTCTGCTAAAATTGTCATAGTCTCCTAAATTGGCACTGGCTAGAGCAGTGTTTGCCTTTGTTGGGAAGGTAAGGTCCAGGTCCATGTAGAGGCTCTCAGGGCTGCTGGCCTGGGTGACAGGAGGTCTGTGAAATGGTGGGATCATGTCCACTACCATAGGTCACAGCTGAAGCACTGGGACTCAGATCCAGCTGGTACCAGAGTCCCCAGGTACCTGCAGTCTGTCCAGAGCAGCACAGAGCCACCCCCCTGCCAGCACATGGGCTTCTCAGCCAAGCTCTGTGGAGGCTTTCAGAGACAGCCAGTCTGAGGAAGGAGTGAAGGGCAGAGTCAAAGCCCACTTTCTTCTTCTAACAGAGAAATGCCTTAATAATGATTATATCCATAGGTGAGTATATGTATATATTATATAATATATAACTTACATGTATACACATTTATAAAGCTCTCTCTCTCTCTAGTTTTTGGTCCCAGGAACCCCTCAAATAACCAGTCTATAGATGTTCATAATGGCATCCAACCTACGCATTCCTCCTACACACTGTAAGCCACCTATAGATTACTGATGGTGCCTGATCCAATGTCACTGTTGTGTAAATGGTGGTTACAGCATGTTGTTTAGGGAATGATGACAAGAAATTTTGCATGTTTTCAGTAAGGGTGCAGTTCTTTCTTGGAATGTTTTGTATCCACTGTTACACACACACACACACACACACACACACACACACACACACACACACTCAATTTTGAAGAAAGCATGACAACACTGAGGGGAACTGTGGGTGAGAGAGAGCTCTGCAGAGGTGTCACAGGTGTCAGGGGTCAGAGTGTCCTTCTGCAAGGGATGGATGCTCAGCGTGTTTGCAGTGAGACCTGAGTCTGGCACCCATTGAGTTCTTTCTGAAACTCCAGTCATTTGTGATGACTCACATTGTCCCTTTGATGTTTCCTGCTATTGTAGTTGCCCATGCCTGTGACACCTTCCTGATGGCCCCAAATGAGAGTCTTGCTAAGCCTTCTTTCCTTCTTGGTTGAAGGATCCTCTCAGACAGACGAGATCCCAGCCAGTGTCTTCTCCCATTTTGTCACCTCATGGTGCCCGTCTGCCTTGTCCTAGAGCTATTTCTGGACACCTCTCCCTCTTCCTTGTGTGAGCTCCTGCAGGGCAGCCTGGCTCTGACTCATCGCTATGTCCCCAGTACTCAGGGCAAGGCCTGGTGCTGATGGGAGAGCTGAATCGCTGTGAGAATGACAGCAAAGGTGAGGGACTAAGCAGCATGGCTCAACTCTGCGTTCTGTAGAGATGTGTGTCTCCTTACCTAAACCATGGCCAAACCACATCCAAGCTACCTCCTATCCTTGGCCTGGCGCTATGGATGGAAAGAAGGGAGAGAGAGACAGCGAGGGAAAAGAGGTGGAAGAAGGAAGAAAAGAAGGAAGGGAGGAAGGGAAGACTGAAAACGAATGGGCAGGCATCACGGAGCACAGCTGCAATCTCAGCACTCAGGAGGCAGAGACAAGCAGATCTCTGTGACCTTGAGCCCCTTGAGGTCTACATAGTGAGTTCGAAGCCAACCAGGTCTACGCAGTGAGGCCCTGTCTAAGAAAGAAAGAAAGAAAGAAAAAAGCCATGGGTAGATGAATAGATGAGTAGATACACAAATGGATAGATGGATGGATGGATGAATAGACAGATGAGTGGATGGATGGATGGATGGATGGATGGATGGATGGATGGTAAAACGATGCAATAAATAAATAAATGGGTAAGTGGCTGGCTGGATAAGCCAATGAACAGATGAATGAATGGAAAGATGGACAGACGGACGGACAGACGGACGGATGGATAGGCTGAGTGGGTGGGTGAATGGCCTGATGGGCACACGAACAAGTAGACAAGTGGATGGAGAGATGGCTGTATAAGACAGGGAGGTCAGAATGGGCAGCAATCGGAGCAGACTTCAGCAGGAGTCTGGAGATGCACCTGACTGAGACACAGTTCCTACCTAGTATGGCCCGGACCTCAGTGTGAGCTATGGGCCCCAAGAAAGTAATCTACAAGTATTTGCTTCCCAGAGGCTTTGATTCAGTTTCCCTCTTTCTGTAGAACGAACTCCTGGCAGCAAAGAGCTGACCAAAGGTCGAGAGAGCCTCTTTATCAGCCAGTGGCCCCAGAGCCGGAAGGACACCTGTGGTGAGGAGGGTCACAATGACTCAATTGGCACCATCTCCATGACTCTGCCAACCAAGAAGCCTGTGTGGCCGGCTGAGAAGAACCTGCTGTATGAGTTCTTTGGAGCCACCAAGAACCCCAGTGGGCAGCTGAGACTTCGAAGCAAAGTGGATATGGATGGGCTGGATCTGAAGTGTAAGTGATCGTTCTCTGGGCGGGTACCCAGAAACCACAGGTATTCAGGTCCAAGCAGCAGGACCTCATTCTGTCCATGGGCAAGTCACCATTTCCCCTTGGGTTTCAGGATTGTTAACTCCATAAAATGGAGGAAATGATTTTCTCCCAGCATCCCCTGAGGGAATCCAATTGCTAGAGGAAAGTAATTGGTTTTTAGAGATCCTACAAGCACAAACAACTGGTGTGGTCCATAGCCCCAACCTAAGATATATTACAGCTTCTAAGTTTGCCCAGGCCACAGAGAAATCCGTGCTTTGTATTATTTCCACATTGAGATTATCCATGACCTGGCCTGGCTTCCTCTCCTTTGTCCTCCTACAACTGCTTTAGTCACAAAGTCAAAACCCCTTTCCAAACACAAATTAACAAAAAAAGGATGCCGTGGAGGGGTGTGTTTCTGATTCCGTAGTCCATGGATGTCTCTGTAGAAGAGAAGAATCCAGTGTTCATACACAATAACAATTAAAACTCATGCTTTGGAACCCAGTAGTAAGTTAGCCCGCACTGAACTATTTCATGTTTTTAAATACTCGGGAAAACACTAATAGTTAAAGGGATGGCTCAGTGGTTAAAGGTGCCTACTGCTCTTCCAAAGGACCAGAGTTTGGTCCCCAGCACCCACTTTGGGTGAATCGAAAACTTCAGGAGTTTGGATAACCTGCTCTTTTTTCCACACACATACACATAAAGAAAAATAAAAATTAATCTTTAAAAACCATTCAATTAATATTTAGAAAACCATTCCCGTATAGAGACAGCAAACTGCACAAAGTTGTTATGTTGCTCAGTATCCAGCCTTGATGGGGGTAGATCATTAGAGGGAAATTCTTTGCAACAGCTTTGCCCTTGTTTGTATAAAGCTGGAGTTGGGTTTTGCAAGTAGGTGGAACACAGCCTTAGCACTGTGGTTTATTGCATACCTTGCTCACCAGCCTCATTTACTAGTGAGTGATGGAGACAGAAGCCTTTCCTTCCAAATGAGCAAGCGGTGCACTAATGATGGTTTCCTGGAGTTAGAAAGCTCCTGGACTTGGAAGGACCCTACTAGCGCTTAAAGGACATGACCCCTGAGAGTATGCATCCCCGGGATGCATACAGAGACATCTAGCCTCTCCCTGCTGCAGGCACTGAGCTGTTTCCCTCCCCCTTTCCCCTGTCCCACTGTGACTTGCAGTTAACCCACCTGCATTGATGCCCGACAAGAACAATATTAAGTATGCTGGGAATGTTTTCGCCCCACGCTTCACCACAGCCTTGACCTCGACCACCCTGAACCAGCCTCTCTGGCTCAATCTGAACTGTCCGCCTCCACCAGTGTTCTCCAACCACTCCACCTTCCCGCAGTACCAGGTAAGCAAATGGCTCTGGCTCCCCAACCAAGCCTGCTGCACCAAAAGCCTTGGGACTCCCCTGGAACACCATCCCTAACCATAGATCACATGAGAAGGAGAGTAGACACTGTCAACCTGTGAACTTCTACTGTTTTCATTGTAACCATAATGACTCACCAATTCGTACACACACACACACACACACACACACACACACTTATGTGCTCACACACATGCATACCATGCACGTATACATGACCTTGGGAACCTGTCTGAAAGGGAGTTAGAAGTGCCACACAAAAGGACAGCCGAAGAATTTGTAGCAGAGTTTGAAATTTTCCTCACGGAGCTTATTTATGCAGGTAGAATGGAGTTTGTTCATTTTGTCCATTTAACTTAATATCCCTTAAGAGCCGTGGCCCACTTGGTGGAAGGAAGAAAGAATCAAATAAATGTCCACTCTAGTTTAAGCCTTTGTCCAATCCAATAACTTAACAGTCCCCTTTGGTAGTGCTCTGTGTTTTCAGGAGAGGTGCTCAGCGTCAAAGGTTTCCCCAGCTTCAGGTCCCATTCCTGGCTTCTCCATCATGTCACATAGTTCCTCCAGGAAGCACGGGGTTTCAGACCTGTTCTCCGGGGCTTTGTCCATTTGCTGGCCTGGCTGTGACTGGAAAAGGGAAATGGAGAAGAAATTTGTGCTGAACTTAACTTGTCTTCCTCCACGATCGTTCTGCATGGAGCCGGCGCCACCTTTGTTGACAACAGAGCAAGAAGTGTGTGGCTTAGACATCCCAGGTGGGCGGGGAGCCTCTCTATTCTAAGGACTTCAGAGCTGATGCCCCTTCTTCTCAGCAAAGGACCTGTTTCTGATTTGTTTTCAACTTTTTCAGAAAGAATGAGTCCCCACTTCCCTTCCCTCCACAGGTGCAAAACGCCTTGCACTTTAGGACGCCATGGAGAGCGTTGGGGAAAATCGCAGGGCATCATCTTCACATTAGTAATAACATCTTCCCACAGTCTCGAGAGAAGCTTCGGGGTCTATTAATTCATGGCTTCCTTCACTGGCGTTCTGAGCCCATTGCAATTTGGGGCCTGCCTAATCCCCATTCATTTATTCACCTATTCATTGGCCGACTCCTTTTTATTTATTTATTCATTTTTCTTTAGTAATCTTAAAGACCTCTGCTCTGTGGTTACTTTAGGCTGAGCCCTGCACTAGGTGAGGGCACTCAAAGGTGATGAAGAGGCTTTGAGTCCTGTGTAAGTTCAGGAGCAAATCAAAGACCAGGGGGATATACACGACCTCAAAATCAGAAACAACTGCACACTTTCCCACGGTTGGAAGTCACTCTTGCTGAATTCATGCACCCGTCTCACAGTGTCAGCCTGTATTGCAATGCTCCACTGACTTGGCTTTTTGAGCAAGTAGGATTTGGCTATGTTTTTCTGAGCATCAACTCTGTCTTGTGTCTTCAGAGACACTGGTGTTCATATTGTAGGGCTGACTATGACTTTGCTACAGGAGGAGGGAAACTGAGGCAGCACATCTGGGTGGCAAATTTCTAGATGCAGAGAGTACTTTCTTGTAGATCAAATGATGGATTTTTCTATAACATGCACAGGAAGCCCAACTCAGTCTAGTCTCTTATACAGCTGTATCCTCAGGCTCATTCTCAAACTCTCTGACTGCTGCTTATTCTGGCCTTTCTGCTTTATGTATCCATCTCTCCATCCACTTTACTACTCATCCATATTCCCATCCATTCATTCACCTACATTTGTCTATTTATCCATCCTTACCCATCATCCAGCCAGCCATCCAGCCATCCATCCATCTATCCATCCATCCACTTATCCATCCACCCATCTATCCATCCACTCATCCATCCATCTATCCATCCCTCCACTTCTGCAGAGAAGTGATGCCCTGGCCTGTCTGGGAGGACCTCCTTGATTCTGAAAGACAATTCAGGCAGCGAATGGGCCCAATCAAAGTTAGCCAGGAAGGAGCTGACATTCCCAGGTGGTGGCCAAAGACTGCACCTCTGCTTTCTTATGAATCTCAGAATTTCCTAGTGCTTGATTTGAGACTAGGAATCGACTGGATCAGGAGGCCTGGTACAGCTGAGAGAAAGCAGATCTGAAACCAGAAGATGGGTGAGAGGGCTTTGCAGCATCTGCATTGTGTGGCCTTGGGCAAGTTCCTTAACTGCCCTAGTTTGTCTGTAGAAGATTCGGGCTTATCATAATTACAGCACTCACAGAAACTGATTTGGTTGTAAGGATTAATTGAGCCCAAGCAAAGGAAAGGACTCTTAAAATCCCCAGTGTGACACAGATGTTCACTGAATTAATACTCAGTTAAGGCCCTCCAGGAAAAGGGGGTCAGGGAGTTCAGTAGACCTTGAGGGGGCAGAGAAAACAGGGGACTAGTCTATCACAGTCTCTTCCACACAAGGCCTAAGGAATAAAGATGAGGCCCCAAATCCAATTTTCTCAGAGCTCCATGGTGGAGAAACTCGGAGATAGGAAGACAAAGTCCCTAACACGGACCTTGAGCAGCTCCAGATGAAGAAGGGAAGCCATGTGGGGAAAGGCCATGGCCTCAAGCAAAGAGGAGTGAATGCTTATTCGCCCCTGCTTGCTCACAATTTTACAAAGCTGCAATTCTAACAACTGTGAACGTCCCTAGAGTCAAGCAGTCTGCCTCATTCTAATGAAGGAGGCACCATCTCTTACAAGGAGGGGAGCAGGGCTGGCCAGCTTGTGTGCCCTCCATTGGCCCCAGCATAGCCTAGTGCAGAACAGGTGGTGGTGGTGGATGGCTGCCTGGTATTTGCAGTCCTGGAAGAGGTGGGTGGCGAGCTTGTTAATGGAGTTAAGGGCAGCAGATGGGACCTTAGCAACCTGTCCTGAGGTCTTGCCACTCACCAAGGGTCTGGAATGAGCAAGTTCATTCCTTTGGTAGGACTTCTCTGGCCAGGTTCATTCCATGGTGGGGAAATAGGGACTGTGCTGGGTCATGATGGTGAGTGAGGCTGACCTGGTTGTAGAATTTTAGGCAATAGGGCATGAGGGGTGGACTGGCTTCAGGCAAGGACTGGTGGAAGTGGGAGGGGCCAAGACAGGAAGGTCTCAAGTGTTACTACTTAGTGACAGAGGAAGGGTAGGGATCTCTGCTATAGAATGCTTTGAGTCTCAGAGACCTGGAAGCTGGGACAGGAAGAGCTGAGAGGCTTCTGAGGTACGCCACGTCCAAGATCCTGGAGCCTTTCATGAGGAGCTGAGGATATCATCAGGAGCATGGTGTCTATCATTACCATTTTGGTGATTGACACAAACCAAGGCCGGAACAGAGACAGCACTTCAGGATGAAGAATGTTTTGGAAAGGTGTCCTGGGATGAGAGGTGCCCTGGGCTTTGAGCATCATGCTAGGTACTGAGTGCCCATCTTTTTAGCTTCTCCGGGCCACACTGGATGAAGATGAGTTGCCTTGATCCGCACATTAAATATAGGGTTGTAAAACCCACGGCCCACGAGTTCCTTTACATGACACTGAGACAAGACACTGCCGTCTATGATGTCCACGCCCTAGAATCATTCTATCAAGTTACAAAATAGTTGCAAAGCAATACGATAATGTTTTAAGTAAGCTTACAATCTCATGGTAGACTGCGTCCATAGCCATCCTGGTCCCCATGTGGGGACCTGCAGGGCTAGGGTTGGGGGCACCCTTATGATGTAGGTAATGACTGTAGACAGTTGGAGGGGTCATGGGTTGGTCTACCCTTTGAAACATTTCTGCTAAGTGTGTGAGTTTTGTGTCTGTGTGAACTTGTGGATATCCCAAGCCCCACCCTTATTCAGGGTTGTAAATCAACTTTCCACCCCCTCCGGCTAAGCTGCCAGCAATCCTAGAGGGAGGGGCCAGTGGGGGATGACAGACAGCCCTAACATTTACAGAGGCCTTACTGTGTGCCCAGGTGCTTTCTCAACTCTTTACTGGCATTCCTTTATTTACCCTCCTGCTTACCCTCACCATGAGCAACAGATACACACTGGCCCTAGCAGAAACCCAAACAAGCGTGTGTGTGTGGGGGGGGGGCATAGCTGCACATCTGTACACAGAATCATAGGCCCCATACACATACAGATATACTTGAACATGGATGTATCAATGCTGGAGCCCAGATGTATAGCACACCTCACACTTAGGTGAGAATTGGCTTAGGGAAAGGTAGAAAAGGCCCATGATGGCTGAGGAGACAGGCTGATCCTTGAAGTGCTTGTCTTGCAAGCTTGAGGTCCTGGGTTTGAACCAGCAGAATTCATACAAAAAAGCTGGGCTTGGTGAGGGAGAGTTGCAGTCTAAGGACTGTGGAGGCAGAGACAGGAGGATCTTTGGGGCTTATCTGACAGCTGACATAGTCTACTTGGTAATCCTCAGGCCAGTGAGAGACCTTATCAAAAACAAAAACGCCAACCAAGGTGGGCAGCATCTGAGAAATGACACAGGAAGTTCACCTCTGGTCTCCACAGATGTGTATGCAAATAGCAACAGTGATAATGTGGTCATTCCCACAGATTTCACAGGCCTGGCCTGGCAAGACTCTCACAGAGGTGGAGTAGCTTTCTCAGGGACACAGGTCAGCCTCTGAAAGTGTCAGTCTTTGGCACTCCTTCCTAAACATCCCTAGATACTCAATTCAGCTTTGGAATCAGTTAAAAAGGGGGCTTTCCAGGTGGCCTGAGCTGTGATGGCCCCAGCGGGAACCAGTCAGCTCTAGGCAACTTCGTGGGGGATGGGAGAAGGTCAACTTAGGATGCAGATCTAGGCCTATGAGTAGGATGCTGAGCAGCTTCTGTGTTCAGGCTAGGGATTGCCATCTAGCATCAGCTAGCATCAGGAACCTCTCTTTTTCTCCTTAGGGCCTGTACCCACAGCGGTCAACAAGGATGCCCTACCAGCAACCTGTGCACCCCCCTATGGGGTGCTATTCCCGACAGGTAAGTTGATGACTTCCCCTTCTATGTCCTGGCTTCATAAGGTCTTTAGGTCCCAAAGCTATCTGCTCCTTCACCCTTGCCTGGTGGTCATCACCATTACTTTCTGGGCCATCACTGACTTATCGTATGATGATCCCAAATGTCACTTAAAAGAGTCCTTATTACATGATAATGCTAGGCCTCTCCAAAAGGCTTCTCCTACACTAATTTAACCTTCTCAACCACCTTACAATGCATGCTACTGATGGGGAAACTGAATCACAAAGAGATTAGACCAAAAACACTAACACATAAGTTTGGGTTTGCTGTGACAAGTAGCTTCAATAATTCAGAGACTTTCCAGGAGTCTTTAGTTCTTGCTCATCGGCTGAACTTGGCTGTGGAACAGAGTCAGGACTATTCTCTTTTCTCTTTTGGGATCTTAGCTGAAGATGCAGGAGCTGTCGCTTTTCTCCCATTGACTGACAGAGGAAACTCATAGTGCTTCCAGGAGCCTCAGCTCTGTGCATGGTGACATCCACACACTTTCAGTTGGCCAAAGTTAACCCCACAGCTCTGCCCAGCATGTATGAGGCAACAGTCATTTTCATGCTATGTGGATTGGCTAGTTCCCATACAAGACACTCAGTTTGGTTTGAAATTCAAATAAATAGTGAATACATTTTTAGTATAAGTAAGTCTTAAATATTGCACAAGACATATTAACGTTAAAAATACACTCACAGTTTATTTCTGGTCTGGATTCAACTGGTGTCCTGTAGTTTTATTTGCTGAATGTGGCGGTATGAATTACACAAGTACTTCAGGTACAATTGCCTCTTAGATATTAACTCAGAAGCAGCCTATGTTCTTGGCCACCATGCTGGAAATCTCTTGTACACAGATACACAAAAGTACCGCTACAATAAGGCAGCAGATATAGCAACAGACCTACATAGAGAGAAGCAGAGAGAAATAGATAGTAGGCTGGGGAGATGTTTCAGTGGCTAAAGGGCTTGCTTTCCAAGCACGAGGAATGGAGTTTGGACCCCAAGAAACCATGAAAAGCTAGATTCAATAGCGTGCATCTGTGATCCCAGTGTACCTATAGCAAGGTGGGGGATACATGCATCAGCTAGCCTGGCATATATAGCAGTGAACTATATAGCTTCCTTATAACAAGGTGAAAGGTTAGGATTGACGCCCCAGGTTGTCCTCTGACCTCCACATGTGCACTGTGGTATCTGTACCTTGGGGGTTTTGGGTACAATTCAGGATTGGAGACAGTGCTAAGCTGGTTATTTTACTTCTCTGTGCCTCAACTTTTTTGCCTCTCAAATGGGAGTAATTAGGGCCTGTTATTTTGCGCACCACCATGATAAAGGAACTGACAAAAGCAACTTAAAGAAGTTTTATTTTTATTTTTCTGCCCAGTTTGAAAGTACAGCCCATCATGGTGAGAAGGCGTGGCCCCAGGGACATGGGGCAGTGGTCACATTGCAACCTCAGTTAGGAATCAACGGGAGTTGAAGGCTGGTATTCAAGTGGTCTTCTCTTTCTCCCTTTTTGTTCAATCTAAAACCCCAACCCCTAGGGCTGAAGCTGCCCATGTTTAGGGTGGGTCTTCTATCCTCAGTCAAACTTCCCTGGAAACACCCTCACAGTACACCCAAGGTAATTCTAAATTCTCATGAAACTAACAATCAGGGTAAAATCAGAGTGTCTTGTCTCACAGGGTTTGAAGATATAGTGACAGAGGTGAGATGAAGGGTCTCCCACAGCCAGAGTGTTTCAAACGCGCTAGCCCAAGTGGGTGGGTTTGTTTGTTTGTTTGTTTGTTTGTTGAGACAGGATTTCTCTGTATAACAGCTCTGGGTGTCCTGGAACTCGCTCTGGTTGGCCTCAAACTCAGAGCTCCACCCACCTACCTCTGTCTCCCAAGTGCTGGGATTAAAGGCACGATCCACTACCGCCTACCAAGTGGGTTTATATTAGCCATGAACAGGCAGGGAGAAGGGGGGCTCTTGAGTATTGTGGCATCTCTGGTGGAAATGCAGAAACTTTCCCAGCTTTGACAGAAATTCCCCTCAGCACACAGGGGATCCATGTGAGGAAAGGGCCTTCTAGTGTACAGGTTGTCAGTAATGGAACCTGTTGCCCTTGGTGAGTGCTCCCAATCATGTCAACAGATGCTCAGTGCTCTCCCCTCTTTACTGGCCTCTCTTACTGCATTCACTCTACTGTCTCAGAGCTGGAGCAGCAGCAATGAATAAGATGGGTGGTGCCTTGCTTGTTGGTGGTGAGAAAGTGGGAGCCCCAGTTCTCAGCAGGTATTTGCCCAGGTATCCAACAGAAATCCCACTGAATTCCCATCTTTCCCTCGGATTTTTGGTTGCCCCACCTCCTTTTTGCACTTTCTTTTTTTATTATCCAGTACTGTAGCCACTAGCCACATGTGGCCATTTGCAGGAATCCCAATTCAATAACATCCAGACCTTAGCTCCTTATTCGCCCCAGCTGGATTTCAAGTGCTTGATAATCATAGCTGGAGGTTTATGCAGTGATCCTCACAGCACAGCCCCATTCTTCCCTGGCAGGGGTTTCCACTGGGTGAGGTTGTCTAGGGCTCACAGTCTGTTCAAGTCTGAAGGTGGAAGCCAGTCATGTGAATCCCAGCAACTAAACCCTCCCTACACAGAGTATATAGTGTTTATCCATTTTATAGATTAGGGGCCTGAGGCCCAGACACATAAGGCAAGTAAGGGGCACACGGGTTTATGAAGTCAGCGCTGGGAGATGTTGAGCTTGTCCCTCTCTTCTCTGTGCCCTGCAGGTGACACCGTACAACCCACAGCAGATGGGACAGCAAATTTTCCGCTCTTCCTACACCCCCTTGATGAGTTACATCCCTTTGGTCCAACCCAACTATCCATATCCTCAGAGGACTCCCCAGAAGCTTCCCGCCAACCCCCGAGATCCTACCCCGATGGCAGGAGATGGGCCTCCATACCTCTTCCCCCAGGGATATGGGTGAGTCTTCAGCCATGGTGGGTGTGGGGAGCTGACCTGCATCTAGAGGGCTGTCATAGATGGCAGGAGAATGGGGTGGGCTTCATAGAACCTTTCTTGGTATATGTCGCCCATGGCAGTGGCGGGTGGGGGGCTGGTGGCATGTGTTTGTATCTGTGCCTAGTTTCGGAAGTGAGCCTGGGCTGGGATCTAGGAGGAGCCTTTTGAAGGTACTTTGCAGACTGCCACCTACAGGTCGGTTATGGAACTGCAGATGCCCAATAAGAAGCAAGTAGGCTCTCTCTATTCATTGCATGGGTGCTGCAAGAGGCTCATGACGCCCTGTCATTATCATTGAATGATTTGCAAAGAATGTAGTTAGCTAATTTGTATATGACTCCTATCCACTTCCTGATGCTTCTGGAGTCCTTGCCAGGCTAATCTTTCAAGTATCCTCTGGAGTTTGCCGGGTCCTGGTGAAGGATCTCCCACAGCTTATCCACAGAAGCCTTCCCAATCCGTAAAAGAGTCTGGCATTTCCTTCCTGGGTTTGTGTGAGGGGCTCAACTGCAAACTCCAAACACAACTGGGCAGTTAGGATAAAAATTCCTCTTGGATTGTGTATGGTGTGGAGTACCAAAATTGTGTTTGTTTTTAACATCATTAACAAGTAACTACTCACTCCGATAAGCCAAACTCTCAGCTAATATTAGTGATCCAAGGCAGAAGGCACCATTTCCCTCCTGTGGACCTCAGAATCTTAGGTAGATCAAGGAGCAGGTTATTTCATTTGGAGAAACTCAGGTTCTAGGTTAGAATGAAACTTTCTAGGTGGCATTGATTCCTGCCCCGCCCCCCTGCCCAGCAGACACCCTCTCCCCACCTGGCCCACTGCATGACCCCAGACTCTTGTCCTCTGGAAAATTACATCTTCCCTAATATCTTGTGAAAAGTGATCGATGTTTCAAAGAGGTTTTGATAGTCAGATCTGTTTGGGGGAAACTGTGAGAAACAAAGACAAGCAGATTTCTTAACAGTTGGAACTCTCAGATCATTTAATTGCCTGGGGTGCTCGGAGAATATTCAAGAGGTAGACAATGGTGGTATTTGAATATGATATCCATGACTTCTTTTTATATCTTTCCTTTCTCCTCTACTTCCTCCTGTCTTTCTCCCCTCAATTCCCCTCTCTTTTCCTCCTTCTTATTTTGTAGAACACAGCATGGTATGTAAACCCCCACCACCATCATTACATACACTAAAAAGGACTGTGGTTAATTCATGGAGTTAATGTGAACTTAGCCTACAGGAAACTCAAAAAGCAGAGGGTTGGGGCAGGAGACATGCCCCAGCTTACTGTTCTTTCAGAGTACCCAGATTTGGTTATCAACACTCACCATCCAGAAGCTCACAATCACCTGTAACTCTAGTTCCAGGGGATCCAATACCCTCTTCTAACCTCTGTAAGCACCCCCCACATATGACATATATAAACTGATACAAACACACATACATATACATAAAGAAGAAATGGAGGACTGACAGGATTGGATGGTGCATGCTCTGGTAAAGTGAAGCTGAAGTGGTCCCAGGCCAGAGGCAGGACCTCTGAGGGGAGACCCTAATGAGTGTCTAAGAGAGGCAATGTAGGTGGCGGGGGAGGGGGGGTCAGGCTCTGCAGTGGGAAAGGGCAAGGCAATCATGTAAATGCCCCTTTGAGCTCCTGATTTTGAGGTGCCAGGAACTGAACCCAGATCCTTCCTCATGCTAGGCAAGTAACTTGCTGCTGACCCATCCCCCAAGCTCAGAAGGTGCAAGACAAACTAGAGGCCTGGGAACAGAGGCGTGTATGGTTTGAAGTATTAGATTTGTCCCTGGAAAAGGTGGAAAATAGGATTGGAAAGGGAGGTTGGGAATGGATTATTAAAGGCTTTTGGCTGCTAGGCCTGAGGATCTAATAAAGGCCTGTGCACATCAGAGTGAACACATAGGCCTAGGGGAGAGAACAGGAGACAAGGTGTAGTCTGGAGGTCTCAACAAGAGGTTATCTATTACCTTGGTGGAGGTGAGAGTGAGTGAGGCATCCGAGGGATGCAAAGAACCATCCCTCAGCTGGCAGTCATCCCTGTGTTAC